CAGTGGACAGCCTTCCATCTCATACTAAATCATCTTGTAAATATTTTCCGTAATTATCCTATTTGCTTATTGTACATGATAATATGTTATAATTTAATTATATTAAATTTCCTATTTTAAATAAAAAAAAAAAGGTATTTCTTATTACACTCAAGCCATAATGGTTTGTGTCAACTAAATGATTAAATTAAGGAATATATTTTTATTTAAAGTCATTGTGTAAGTACCTACTTATATATAGCATTATTTAACAAAAAAACTAATTAAAAGTTTCAATTACCTACAATTATAACAGTTAAACATGATTTTTGGTTATTAAGCCATTACCTAATGTATTATTTTTCAAATTAACTGGAAATAGTTAAGTTATTAATTTAATTATAAAATTAATTAATTAATTAAGTTGAACAATTAAAAAAATAACATTTTTTAACCTAACTAATGGCTATTGCTCACTTTTGAATTTTTGATAATATCAAATATAATAGTTTTATATTATGGTACTTCACGAGACGCGTCACCAAGTCGTCCGTCCATTGACTGTTCGCTTGAAAATATTTTTCATTCATTACCACACGTGAAGTCTCGAAGGTGCGACGCAGCGGGGCGTAGGCCGTAGGCCGACAAGCAGTTAGTATAATATAGCGGTATAGTGGGCACCTGGCACACGCTGCTGCAAAGTGTAAATAACGAAAAATCGTTATCTGCCTTTATAATTTACATAATCATAAATACGTGTGGTAGGTTGGTATATAATAATGTACATTTACGCGAAACATGTTTAGCAGAAATTAAATTTTTTCTCGGGTCGGCGCTGCAGCAGCGTCCAGTGATATTTATATTCGTATTTTATTAGCATAATATATATATATATATATTATATTATTATACCCGACGTAATGTATAATATATGTATAATAACATGTGTATTTGACTTCAAAGAGAGTCAACGCTTCGGGTCGGCGCTCACCGCTGTTTCTGCATTGTGGCGTGCGCACTTACCTGTTCAGTCTCACTCATTGATGTTTGCAGCGTGAAATGTGAATTATTATTCTATAATATTCCGAGTACCTCCACACAGGTTTTCATTCATTGCAAAGTGCTGGCCGAATTATTGTACATTATAGTGTAGGTACAACATATGTGCGTACTATATTATACTATACAATTTTCTGTTGTAGTTATACAGCGTGTGTCCTGAAAAGCAGAAAGCTATAAAGTATAATCGCTATATAGGTACCTATATAATATATATATATTAATTTTATATACACGCTATACATCATTATATTTATGCGAAAAATGATCTTTGATCTAAACCAGGTTTTTTATGAGGTGTAGAAATAGACCTGGGTATATTATTATTATAAACTTCACTGTACCTATAGGTACCTAAATAAACACAGCGTTTCATATTTTTTTTAATACATTTACGCTATACCTATGTATATACGGTACAAATTATTGTTTTTTTTTTTTTATTAAAATAGTGAATTTTTATCATAGATTTAGATAAGAACAACATTTTTAATTAATTTAAATGTTGTCAAGTTTAGATCCCACTTCAATAATGTGTACCTAATGACCTCACAAAAATCACGTTAAAGATTGACCTTCATCTTATATAACTTACATGTTTTTTTCAGACTTAATAATATTATATACTTACTAATATAGGTACTATAATTTATACTTACTTAATACTTATTTATCTTTTATTTTTAGATTTACTTATTGATTCAGCAAAAAAATGTTCACATACAACTTTAAAGTCCAAAGTAGACGAACCTTATTTATACATTTTACGTTATATTTATTGTTATAACATGTGTATGTAACCTAAGTAACCCTGAGTAAGTAGCCCTCAGGTTTGATTACATTAATATTTGGAATTTATTATAAATCAATCCCCCACCCCCAAGAAATATAACCTTATAGTTGCACTTAAAGTAAGATCACTCAAATGTATATAGACTTACATACGTTATAACTTGTAAGTATATGTTGATTCTTTAATAAAACCTATCGGAAAAATATAAGATCATGATAAAAAAAATTAATACACTATGTGGATGGTCTGAGGTCTTGTCATTATAAACCAGGCACAAAGACAACCCCAATCAAGACGTAGCATCCATAATATGTTATAACAACACTTATAACATAAGTTGACAGTAATAGTTGAGGTTTTGCCGAAACTTTAAAGGGGCGATCGAGGCTATCGCCACCCATCAAAACCCCCACTGTTAAGCATTATATAATATATATAATAATATAAACAATAAACATTAGGTTATAATTAGGTCGTTTTAATTCTTAAATTTTCATTTAACTCTTTTTAATTAAAAAAAAAATAGACTCACCATTTAACAGGATATGTTTGGTTAGTGTTATTTAAATAAAAAATACTTTAAATGCTCTCCGCAGTTAAAAATTAAATCTTTCTAAAAAAACCAAATTTTAAAAACACAAAAGGAGCAATAACTACTTTAAAACCATATACTGATTACTGGTCCCCTCGAACTTATTTTAGAATGAATGAGCATAAATACAATTATTTATAATTCATATAGTTAATACCTAATTAGTCTATAATACATAACTTTTAACCAGTCCAAAAAAAAAACTGATTCTTCCGTATGGAAAATAAAATGATAAAATTTAAATAACACAGGATAGGTTAGAATTTTTAGAATAAAAATTACCTTTACGCGCAGTAGGAAATATTGTTGAAACCCAATTGTGATATAAAAAAAAGTTTTATAGTGAAGTAAAATATAAGAAGTATAGGTACCTAGGTTTAAGATATGAGATTAATTTGTACCCAAGCTAGACTAATACTGTTGAAATGTTTGTATATTATTTAAAATTTGTGTTTTGTATGAAGTTATTAATACCTACTAAGTATTACTAAGTATTATGGTTTTAGATTTTAAAACCAATCCCCTGATAGCCTCCTGCCTCCACTCCTTGTCTAAATGGCACAAACGAGCATTATAGATCCACAACTGGGAGCATAAACATGCACTAATGTATGTGTAGTCATGTCGACATTGACATTCGTATATGTATTGCACTGTACTTTTCTGTGCTGTATAATGTACGCGCGCAAATATTGATACAATAATATATTATATTATATTATAATTTATAATGACGCGTTTATGGTTTCAAAGTCGACCTTGTTCTGACGACATCAACGAACACGCTCGTTGATGCGATATAATATTATGTGTGTGTATATAAAATTATAATATAATATAAATTATATTATAATATACAGTGCGTGTGCACGAGTGTGTGTACTGTGTAACGACCGACCGCCGATGCGATCCAAAGAGCTGGTAGGTACCTACTTATATGCGAACAACACGTGAAAGCCAATTAAATACGTATTTAGACGGTAAACCCGCCGTTGAATAATAACCGGGTATATACCGCGAGCCGACTAATTAAGTAGGTATACGTATGTAATATCACGTAGATGAGGTAAAATTTGTGTCTTAAAAAAATAATAATATCCAACGTGGAATATAAAGTATAGCCTATAGCGGTAGGTACAAAAGTGGTACGACCTGCAGGTACCTATATATAGTTTCCGAGAGAGAATTTTCCACATTCGAAACGAGATTGCGGCGTATTGCACATTTGCACAACATTACAACAATCGCACATCCGACATCCGTACACACACGAGTGTTCGTCAAAGTTGGCAGTATTATCTTATATAATATTATACGTATACGGTATTACGATTTACGGTATACCCACTATGTATCAAGATTTACCAAAACACGAAGTGTAAACTATATAGGCCATCGATTAACATCAATATTGGCGCATAATATGCATTATGCTACACTAATTTTTATGACTGCATAACGCTGTCCACTATATTTTTTTTTTTTAGACTATTCGTACAATATTCGTTATAATAATATCATAATATATTAATTATTCATATTAAATAGGTACTTAAACCCATATAGAAGTAATATTCTTAGCTTTTCATTAATAAAACCCAAACATCACCAGGATGATACAATTTAATTGTGAAAAAAAATGGATTTTTTGTTGAAAAAGTTGTACTTTCAGATTTCAACTTTAAGAAAATAGGTATCTTGCAAAAATCATATTGTACTTAAACATTGTCCGATAAATCTGTTCAGTGGTAAGCTGCAGTGTAGGACACTGGCCACAACTAGCCAATGAATATATTCCGTGATTTAACTATTAACGGATCACCTTGTACAATACCTATAGCCTATAGGCGTATGCGTAGGTTTGAATGTTTAATGTTTATTAATCCGCGACCAATGTTATAACAATATATAAATTACCGCTGACGTAATAAATAATAATAGATGATTACCTGTTATTATTATCATTATTATAGATTTTAATAATAATAATATTATGGTGTACACTGTTGTAGGTACTTAGAACGTTTGTGCCGAATATAGTACAACATTAGTAATTTAATGTACGGGCCGGGGACGGACGTGCGCCGCGGCTGTGTGATAACCACTGATAACCGTTGCAGTCGGCGGTCCTTGAGTGGGGGGGACGAGACGGCCGTGACGTCATCGCGGGGTCGCGGATATCAGTACTACGCGAAACCGTTTCCCCCCGTCATACCGTGTCCGGCCGTATCATGTGCCCGTGCTGGTCGTGGTGTCGTTTATTTGTATTATAGTCGTCGCCGCCGTCGTTCCTCGTCATGTTCTCCTCGACCGTTTGTCAGCTTTGCCGCCTCCGTAACAGCGGCAGCCGCAGCCGCAGCCGCCTGTGAAGTGACCGAACTCGCGCGCGCACCCACTCACCCACACACACATAACACACTTACACACACCCGCATGTCAGACATGACTTAGGCGGTCACCGGTGTGTATGCTCGTTCCCGACAAGTGACCGGTCAGCGCAAGGCCTGGTACACCGTAGTTGTAGGGCGACCAACAGGGCCAGTGTCATCAAGCCCTTGCCTCGCAGCATCCGTCGCCATGGCCGCCGAGATTTCGGTTACCCTGTCCCGGCCAGAGATGCCTTCTGGCCTGGGTTTCTCGTTACTCAGCGTTGCCGACTGCCCGCCGGTCATCTACGATATCATCGAGAACACTCCGGCCGCCGAATGCGCCAAGGTATTGCAGTGCTCAATCTTACTGTCGTTACTTACCCGGCTCTTGCTTTAATGAAGCCATTCCCGTCTCTGGACGTTTGTCCGACAGCTCAACGGTTGCTGGGCATAGAATGTAGATACTCATTTACCATACTCGTTTACAGATACTTGTTTACCATCACGTGCATCCGACACGGTGCTTGAGCTTATTTCGGTTTTTTTATTTGTCTGATTCCCCTGCTCTCTGATAGTTGTTTGATAGTCTGTAATCTGTAATACCTATGTTTCGGCCTCATTTATTTACTAAAATATTTTGATGCGTCACTGACTTAGGTGTAGGTGACCAAAGTCGTTTATCTAACTATTGGTTATTGTTTTACCAATAACATTACCTTTTCTAGTCAATGTTTACATAGATACCATGTAGGCATTATGCATAACCCATTCAGAAAAACCGCACACATTTTAATTTTTGTAAATTTGTGCCTACCTACACACATTTCTAAATCTGGAAAGTGATTTGGCCCTGAATTGTTATTGATTATTAAATGAAATATCCTAAATTTGTGTTAATTGTATACGTACTCTAAATACTATCAATTATAATTTAATGCAATTTAATATTTGACATCTTTTTAAAAATGTCCTTGTAATTAAATTAATAGATGGACTGATATGACAATGTCAAATTGCATAAATACAGTAGCTACCTACCTACATGCATATTAACTTGTGCTTATAGTATAATATATAAATAATATACTAATATAAGCTAAAAATTGAATAATATACTTACATGTTTCCAACGTTGTTCCCATATCTATACTGCTATACCTATGGGTAATAATATATTTTTATTTTACACTGTACTTTCCAGTTACACATTTAATGGGACATGTTTTGTTTAAGTTAATTTCTGTAAGATTTAAATGACAGATAAACAGCTAGGTACACTCTCTCATACGTAACATAATTAATTACTTATTTGAACTTAGTGTTTAAAGTATTTAGTATTCTGGAATCGAGTGCCTATATTTTACCTATATTTGATAACATTGTTATTCCTCTCACTAACTTATTATATTTATTTTAATGTTTATAATAGTATCTACTATTATTTTTTCTAGATCGAAGTTGGCGATATTATCACTAAGATAAACAATGAAGATGTGCGGAAATGTACAATAAAAGAAGGTAAAATTATTGTTTTATAAGTTTACAGTTTATTACTCACCAATCACCACGTGTTTGATCCTAATATTGAACTCTAAATGTGAGAAAAACTTAAGTTAAATGTTGAAATATATTACCTTATACATAGGTACATAATATTATTATAATATGCTTAAATTAATTTTTTTCTTCATTTATTTTTTCAATCATTATATGTATCATTAATTTATATTTCTTGTGTGTTTTAGTTTTGAAATGTTTGAGATTAGCACAAAACCCCATTAATCTGAAACTAGTCAGAGGTTAGTATATTTATATACTATTTAGGTGATTTATTGTTAAATTGATAAATTTATGACTTTAGATCCTGCTATAAAAAATAAAGTGCATGATAAACTGGCTGAAGATGAAAACTCCCCTCAGTTATTACTCCGTGATATAGATTCTCCACCACCTCCATCCACAACATCATCCACCACCATTAGAAATGGTTACTAGAACAAATACAAATAAAGTTGAAGGTCCTAAGTATGAAGCATTTATGATGACTGGTGAAAGAGTTATCAAAATGTCTAAAAATAGCCAGGTAAGATATTTTTTGTTTTTAATTTATATCCACTCATATGTATTATATATTATTATTAATTCTAGGTATCTTTATTACCAAAGAGGGATCGAAAAGTTGATTGTCTGGTGAAGAATGGTGGCCCCAAAAAATTCCATAAAGTAAATTCCAATTCTGTTCCTAGTAGTCCTGTTGAAAATGATCGACCAAACATTACAAAACCTAATTCTGGAAATACATCACCAGTTTCTCCTCCTCCTACCAATATGTCTAACTATAAACGTGGCTCTCGTTCTGAAGATCCTTTGCGTTCCAACTCTGAATATCCAATGTCTTCTACTACCAGTATTGACACTGAAGACGAAGATATTACATCGTCTTGTAACACCTTATTAAATACCAATATAAAACCACTGGAAATGGAAGACAAAAGAGTGTTGTGGACATACAATGCTGGTCATGTTCCTGATGAGACATCAGCTTCTTGCAATTCCCTCCAAAAAGTTATATCACCTACGTCACCGACATCCATATCCTCTTCAATAATGTCATCACCGTCTGACCGGCGACGACCAGCCAAAGGATCATATCGTGGCAACAGCCATCCAACTAGCAGTCATTCAAATATATCAAGTCCTGACTTCCAAGACACTGCAGATTCAGATTTCTTGATCAACTCACGGGAATTAGAAGTGACAGATCCAAGTGACAGTGATTCAACTATTCTAGCAAGCGAACCAAAGATTAGAAAGCGATCTACCGAAGGACAGTATACATATTATGATAATAATCATACAGACCATCGAATTGTCATACAGGTGAAAGGTCCAGAAAAAACAAATTTAGTTAAAGATAATGAAAATAACAACAGATATTATAATGACAAGGAAAATATGAGTAACAATGAAAATCAAGATTTTAAAGTATTTAACATTTTATACTTGTAATTATTTACTTTTTTTAAAATTAACATTTTAATTTAGGATGAAGAAGAAGTTCAACATTTGTTGGCATTAATGGAAGGTGCCGCTCAGTTAGCTAATTCTGTTACCAATAATGACGAGCACTGGACACAAAACGAAGATTTTGATTCTGATAGTTTGCATAGTTTTCATTATTCACCTAAAGCTGTAGATATGCCCTCAGCAGTAAGACTAGCAAAACGCTTATTTTATTTGGAAGGATTCAAAAAAAGTGATGTATCACGGCATTTAAGCAAAAAGTATTGAAACAAACATATAATTGGTTTTTTTTTTTTTTTTTTTTAATAAAAAGTAAAATAATAAAATAAATTAATTTCAGTAACGAGTTCAGTAGAGCAGTTGCTGAAGAATATTTGAAGTATTTTGATTTTAAAGGAAATTCATTAGATTTGGCGTTAAGGCATTTTTTGAAACAATTCAGTTTGACTGGTGAAACTCAAGAAAGAGAAAGGGTGTTAGTTCATTTTTCAAAACGGTTCTTGGACTGCAACCCCCAATGTTTTAACTCTCAAGGTAATATTATTAAACTTATAATAGGTACCTATTATTATTTAAATATTTAGTTTTAAGTTTTTTAAATCTTATTTTAATTTTAGTAAATAGTGAATTATGTTTTCAATTTATTTTTCTTGCTTCTACTTTTATTTTAATTACAATTTTTACATTTGCTCTCTAATCTTTAATTAAAATGAAGTGAATTACACATTGGTAGATTTAGGCATTTAGACAACCTATGTATACAGTAGCATAAGCAGGATTTTAGTTGGGTTAGGGTTTTACCTGAGTAAATAATTTACATAATTTTTTGCTGAACAGTTTTTATATAATTATTAATTGGTTATAACAAATTATAGTTAGTCTCAAATTTAGTCTACATTTAGAACACTCGAGTGTTTAACCTAGTCATCTATATAGCCTCTTTGGGTCGTAATGAACGTGGTAATAATTGATGGATGATGATACACCATACAACGATTATGACAGACGTTTAGCAATGTTCTAAATCAGCAAAAAAAAAAACTAAAACTATGATTATCGATTTTGTCATATTTACCAATTTATTTTATATCTATTAAAAAAGACCAACAATTGATAGACTCTGTGTCAAATACGGTACGGTGGTAAATAAGATTTTTTTTGTAAAAGGAAGACATTTCATGGGGGAGGGGGTCAGAACCCTAAAACCCTACCACTGTATTTTTTTTTTTTTTTTGTAATAAACAGAGTAGTTCATTTTATTTGTTAATATTTTTTGTTGTTATTATTAATAATTGTTATAGTTTTAATAAAGTTAACTTATAAATTATTTTATTTTTAGATGCTGTACATACATTGACATGCGCCATTATGCTATTGAATACAGACTTACATGGTCAAATGATTGGACGTAAAATGACATGTAATGAATTTATCGAAAACCTAGCCGGTTTAAATGATAATGAACATTTTCCACGAGATGTTCTTAAATTATTGTACATGGCAATTAAGTCTAATCCTCTTGAGTGGGCAAGGTAAGATACAATTTTAAATATAGGAAATTGAAATTCAAACATTATAAATAAAACGTATTACAACATGTTTTAGTGATGATGACTTGGATGAAAATCAACTAAAAAATGCAATTGCTAGTCAACCAATTGATAGTCTTGGAAATAAAATCCCTGGCCAAATAGGCAAAAGTGGAGGAAGCTATGAAGAGAATGTAATGACACAAGCTTTAGAGTATAAAAAAGGATATGTGATGAGAAAATGTTGCATGGAATCCAATGGAAAGAAGAGTAAGAAAAAAAATAATTTTATATTTATTAACCTTAATATTGGGCTCTTACAATTTTATAGCTGCAAGAGGGAAACGCAGTTGGAAAATGTACTATTGCACATTACGTGATCTAATTCTTTATTTACATAAAGATGATTCTGGATTTCGAAAATCTCAAATTAGTGATAGTATTCATAATGCAATACACATACATCATGGCTTAGCTACTAAAGCTATAGACTATACAAAAAAACAACACGTGTTTAGGCTAGTTACTGCAGATCAAGCAGAATATTTATTTCAAACTAGGTAATAATTTGTATATAACTCCTATTTAAAGCTTTTAATTTTAATTTATTTACTATTGTTTATTATTATTATTATTATTATTATTATTATTATTATTATTATTACTAGTGATTCCAAGGAATTGGATTCGTGGATAAATACAATTAATTTTGTATGTGCTAGTTTTTCTGCACCACGATTGCCAAGTGCTGTTGGAAATCAGAAAAAATTCCAAAGGCCATTATTACCATCAGCTCCAACAAAATTAAATTTGGTTTGATTATTTACACTATTTCATTTTTACAGTTAGAAAATGTTTTACCTATTTATTTTTTTACAGCGAGAACAACTTCGTGAACATGAAGATACTTTGAGACAACTAGAAGTAGAGCTTGAAATCCACAAAAAGAAACCTCCAGAACGTGGAACTAAAAACATCACATTGCAATTTTATAAAGAAAAAGAATCACATTTACTGGAAGAAGTAAGTTTTATTATTTAATATTTATTAGGCTTCTTCAATGATATATTTTTGAATATCGATATTGTTTTTTTTTTGTGGGAAAAATGTAGGTATTGATATATTGTTATTCCGAATTCACATTAACTTGAAAAAATTGTTTTTAAAATATATTACACAAGTTCTTTAGCGTTCAAATCAGTTGATTTCCGGTAACCCGAATACCCAAAAAGCCAGTGGCCAATAATTGAAGTATTCAATATTGTACGATATATTCCAAGTATCGATATATTACGATTATCAATATCTAAATTTCCAAAAACAAAGTTTGCAATATCGGTTATTATCGATATTATTATAGTATTTATACAATTGGTGAAGAGTGTACAAAGCAAAAATAACCTAAGTTACCTTTTCATTATAATCAAATACAGTGTTGACATTAAAAAATATGTATATACTTGACCATTATGTCAAATTTTGATCACTGAGTACCCAAAAAAAGTCCATATGGGTGTTTTTAAAAAAATGCCTCATTGAAAATATAGTTATTTTTATCCAAGTATGTCCAAGTGTATAAAAAAGTGTATGCATGATTGTAAGTACCTATTAAAAGTAGTTGATGGATAATTGATAAAATACTTTAACTTAATTAATAAAATGTAGAAGTGGTAGCTTATACATAAAACATATTTTTTGTACCAGTGATAAATATGCAGTGTTTATTTTACTTACCAATACAAAAATTGAAAAATGTAAATAACTATAATTTCTCTTAAATAACAGTTAAAAAGTTGTAATTAAATAAATTAAATGTGATCTCTAAAACTAATGTCTTGGTAATAAAAAAATTTATTTTTTTCCCTCAAGCATCTAATTATTCATAAAAAAAAAAACAATTTTTTTGTATTCATCAAGTACTGCCCCACATGTTTAAGCTACCCCAAATCATTATCACAAATGTATATATTGTGCTTTTATTAACAATTTTTTTTTTTTTCCATTAGTATAAGCGTTATAAAACGTATGTCTACTTGTTAAGATCTAAAATGATTCAACACCCTGAGTATGACTCAAGTACTGCGTTAATGGAGACTGATGATGAAGCAGAAGTGGTATCTGTTGATGAACAAAACAGTTCATTGCCAATTTCAAACAGGTACAGTTATAATGCAGCTATTTATTCTACAATGGCAACACATTATTAATGTATACAATTTTTTAAAATTTATGAATATTCTCGTATTCTCAATTCTGTGATTATTTATTTTAATAACTTTTGGTTTTGGATAGAGTTGCCAGGTGCAGGGATACAATATTTTATTTTAGAAAATTGCAGGGATCAATTTACATTAGGCTCTGTATATGCAAGTTTGGTACATAATTTCTGATATTGCATAACACTTATATTATTAACAAATATGACCTTTGCAATGAACTGTGATTGAAATAATGTTGAGTTCAAACTAATTAGCTTTTGCTTAATTTCTTTTCTAATCAAATGCTTCAGTTTTAGAAACGCAATGACATTATAAAAAAAACTAATTTGAAATATTTGAAACAAATAAATTGTTCATTCATTTTTTAATTGATGAATAAAAAAAAACAATTATTTGCATTATATATCAGACTTTATCTAAAAACAAATTTATCTAATTTGTATGGTATTAAAGCTTTGTTGTCCTTTGAAAATATTTTAAATCAATTAAAACAATACTCAGTCTATTTTACACTCTACATTTAGTTAATTGAAGAATATTCAATGGATTTATTAAGATTCATTTATTAGTACCCGTTAAATATTTATGTGTATAAGTATAAACAAATATTTCTAATTCATTCTAATATTTTACAACGGTTTTATTTAAATGAGGCCAATAATTAAACTAATACTTTTCTTTCAATAATTTGTTAAAATTGCTAAAATTGAATTATCTTTAGGAGTGTTAAGTAGTACTTTTTTAAAATCCTGTGTACTTAGAAATAGCAATAACCTATAATGCCTCTAATAAATCCATAAAAAAAAAAATGTAATTGATTTTCTCAGAAATGATGAACAAAATATAAATTGAATACATTCAATTTTATTCAAATAATGTTATGATATGAACTTATAGCATGTGTCATTTATTATTCGTTTGCAATTTTGCTAATAAATTTAATATACATTTTCCAATATATACTTTTTAAACATTGTAGGTATTTATGTTTAACATTTCTTAGATTATTTCTTACAAAATTTAATCACAAAAAAAAAAAACATATATATAACTGCTTTGGTTGATATAAAATATAACACTTTATTACACTATACCACACTACACTGTGCTGATTGATAATCACAAGAAATTTGCACACAAATTTCTGTTTTGACTTTCATGCAACACATTAACATTTTTCGCGAGAATTGTATTATTATTACTATTATTATTTCTATTTCATCATGAGAATGTTTTGTGTTTATGCATGGTAAAGGAATATCGATGCTTGAAGCTGCAAAATTTGCCACTGGACTTTCAAGACATTGTCACCTGGCTGTGTAGTTAATCGTTTTTGTTTATTTTATTTATCGTTTTTTTTTTTTAATTATTATTATTCTAATCTTATTATTTTGTGGTTATTCTCAACACTTGATAATGTTATCGATTCCTAATCAAAAGTATGCAAATTAATTCTGAACAATAAATATATATCACACGTATATATATTTACCCCTATGTAAACATTATTTAATTATTTATTTGATATCTATATTGTGTGTATAATTAAAATAATGTTTGCAAAATAAAAATAATAATTATACAATATTATTTATTGATTAGACTAGTTTAACACTGTTTATGAATTTGAAGGAGTACATTTTGACGTAAAATTATTCACATTTTATATTCCATTTATTTTTATAAATATTTAGTATTGATTTTTCTCTGTCTAATGTCGATCTTAAGTAATTTATTAAATTCTAAGTCTCTAATGAGTTACTCACCTTTAAATACTTAAATATCATAAATTAAGCAGAACAAGTTTTTTTTTTTTGAACTGACAAATTTAGTTTTAAAACCTAATGAAGTAAACAGACTTAAATGAAAGTAGTTGATAATGATACTTATGTAAAAAATATATATGTATACAATACATAAACACTTTCATCATAGTAAAAAACATAATTGTAAATTGTAATAGATTATAATGTTGTCATTCCTTGTTTAGAATTGAATTGTATAATGTTCTATAATGTGCCAAATTATATTTTGATCTGCGAACCCTTAATTAATTAACTTTGACTTATTTAAACTACCATTATTCAATATCTATTACTTCTACATACAACATAGTTGTCTAATTTATAATGGATTACCTACATAATTTTTTAAGGAAAACTAATATCCACCATAAATAATCATTTAAAGTGTTATTTATTTGATTGTAAATTTGTTTCAAATTTAATGTAATTTTTTTTTTATTGTTCATAAGGAAATATTGATCTTTTATTGTTATATACTATGTGTTTATACCTACTGTAATATATCATTTTGTAATTCAATTCACTTCCTCGTCGATAACAAAATCATCACTACTTATTATTATCAATATTACGATATACCAAATATAAACCTTTTCTTATGTTATTAATGTAATGTGTATTAAATATGTGAACATTGTTATACGGTGTTATTAAGCACTATTATTGTTAGTTTTTTTTTTTGTGCATGTGAAAAACATTGAGCTGCGTTGTATAATTTATTATTGTACGCCGAACACAAAATATTTTTTAATTTAATAAATTATCATGGATAAAAAAATGTACATAAAATCAAAACCAAAATTAGGTTTTTAACTTCATTACTAAAAAGTTTAAATCTCTATATGCTTTGAAATATTTTCAGTATTAATTGATACAATTTTTTTTTAAATTTATACATATAAATAATGTAATGTGCAATAATTAAGAAAAATAATTTTTGTTTTGTTTGCTTTGAACAAATTCTGTAATTTTTATTTTATGATTAAATTATTTATCCCACGGGCTGTGTTCATATTGAAGCAAATTGACTTAAACAAGGCTTTGTAAACTAATTTTATTTTACTTTATTTTATTTTATTTTGGAATTTTAAAAGTATCTAGTCCATTTTTTTTTAATAAAATATTTATGATAACAAGTTGAAACACATTTATGATAAATTATATTATTAACAACGCCAGTGAATAAGAGCAAACTATTTATTATTTATTACTAATTAGATCTTATTAATATTAATACATAAACAAAATAATATGAAGTGTATATTATATAAATAACTAGGTATTCCATGATGTTTGTAAAATGCTTGATTGATAATGTTGTATCAACAATAAATAAAGGAATTACCAACTATATTTTGTTTAATTTAATTGTCCTCTTCGTCTTGGTGTGATTTGTATACCCACAGGTTTACCTTTTGGACCCTCCTCTGTTTACGCTCTTTCGGCCTCTCCTGAAAAGTCAAGTAGGTACCTAATATTCATTAGTATCAATGGTATTAATAATTTGATTTTTTTTATGTTGCATAATAATCTTAATAATAACAATTTATTACAAGGTTTAGAAAAAATTACATTTTATTTATCAACAAGTGCCCCCCCCCCTGACTAACATTATCGGCGCTAATCACAAAATATCGAAAAATGTCCAGGCGCACCCGACACCTCTCGCTGTGCACGACTATGAACGCGACAGATCCGAAAATATAACCAACTATTTACTAATTCCATTTTTTAAATTTGTTTGTCTTTTACGAAGCATCCTTATGATATATATAATATATTATACGGCTGGCAGTAGGTAGGCCGGGTAGGCGTAAGCTGTAACCGCTAATAACTCTGGAGGGAAGCCAAGGCCCATGAGGTTTAGAAAAAGGTTTAAGAAATATAATATACCTAGTATAATAGTATAGTATATACCTACCTACATGTATAAACGTATACCTAATGTATATATTGTATAATATAATAGGTGTAGTTTATATAATATTATTATACGTGTAGAAGGGATTCCTACCGACCATATATTTTATCTCGATACAAAAACTGGAAATGTTAGAATAATTTAAAAAAATCACTTATACAAAACCTACACGGCAGTACTGCCCAAACTGTTACGGTGCTCACCCCACCTTTTCCTTGAATAATGAATATGTATCCAAATTATGATTTTTGGAATTTGTAAGTATATAACTGGGACTCATAGACCGTTTTTGAAAATGTTGACGTACCTACCTTATTCAAAATTCGAATGAGTAGTTTCGCAGTTATTAAAATGTTTGTACTAAGGATAATGTTAAATTCCTGATAGATTAATATTAGTCACTAACATTTTCAAATCACCCCAATATCTAGTCCCAATATCTTAAATACCCATCCATTATCATGGACCAATATTATGCTTAGTACATAATGTCAAATAATTCTAAAACAAATTTTGGTTCTAATACTTCAACATTTTTCGAATAATTATCGAGTAAGTAATTTACAGTAGAAAAGAGCGAGGTTTAGGTTCTTCTCATTTGAAAACAGACGTTTGTATCTCTACGGGACACTCCACAAGTAGGTACAAAAAATCTCAAGTATTTGAAAATATGGCCTTCGGGTACATTTAAAAATTCCAAAAAACATATTTTGAATAACTGCATCTTTGAAAAAAAAAAATGGGGTGAGGTGGTGAGCACGTTTGCTGGTTTATCACCCTGTATACACATCACCGGTCTACTGTGTACCATATTTTTATTTATTCTTTAAGAAGATAATGGGCCCCACTGAACATGTACGCCTTGTGTACTTGTGCCTTGCAGGAATAAAGATGTGTTACTTATAAACTTTTAAAGTAATATACTATAATACAATATGGTAGCCGGTAGGTACTGAGGTAATGCGCCCGAGAAAAACAGATTCGATTGCAATTGCGTCTTATCGATTACGACGAAAACGTCGTTTGTGAAAAATATCATGAAACGTCCATTATAATAATTAATAAACAACGCGTATATAATAATATATATTATATTAATATGGTCGCGTGTACGTTTACGACGTGCTAACGTGCGTGTGCGTATAATATATTATGTTTACGACGTGCTACGTGCAAGCGTTTAAAGTTAGTACCCCGCATTATAGTAGGTACGCAACATCGGAGAAGAAAGTTGGAAAAATTTCCCTCGCCAAGTGATGACCTCCGCCATTCACGCGCACGTTTCGTCGTTTGCTCGAGCGCGTATACCGGTAGTGGTACATCTACTGGTACGCCTGTACCGCATTCGATTACGAAATCTGAAAGTTGTCCTATTGCGACGGACTTTAATCGTAAACGTGTCCGCAGTACCTATAGATTTAATGCATATTTCATACCTTACGCGCCGTTTCGAAAAATAATAACAAGCCGATCGTTTGGATCTGCTGTGACTTGGGCCAGTGTTATTATTATGATTATTACTGTTATATTATTATAATGGTGGTGATGTGTTAGCGTACGTACAGCACTAGCTATACTATATAGGTACCTATTAAAAATTATAATATTATATTATAGAACCACGCGCTTACGGAGGATAAGACACGTGCCCGCATGCGTTGGAAACCGGTTTTTCGTATAATGAAAACTGTTTTTTATCTGAGGGAAAAAATATATTATAATTAAAACCTTTTTTTTTTTTTTTTGAACGGAATATAATACAACAGGTCACGTCCAATCTACATAGTATACGATTGTACCAATGCCTACATGGGTATTCGTGTGTAGGCATCAAGGCATGCATCTAATGCCTATATTATGCCTATATTATAATATGGGAATTATGGTACGAGAATACTCGTATCGATGTGTTTGTACTGTGTGGGCACACACGTCTATAGTACTCTCGTATTGTTTACCGTTCGTGTGGTTCGTCGAACAAACATTTGGCTTGAAGGTTTGACAACAACGACAATGATCAAACCGAATTATATTCGCTTCGAGTGCGGAAATGTCATCGTAGTTAATTGAAATAATTTTGAGACCTATAATAGCAGCTGTACGCGCGCCATCATTATTTTGTAAACAATTCTGACGTTATGTATACATAAGTATACTAAAAGTTAACGTATTAACTCGGTGGCAGGGTTAGGTTAAGGGGGGGGGGGGTAGGGGCCGACCTTCCCAAGCCACAGTGTTTCTATAAACGGTTTTATACTGTTAAAAACAAAATTACAAAAAGAATCATATTATAATACCGATATTTTCTGAAAATTATGGCTCCTCTCCCCCCCCACCATAACCTGCTTGGTGGGCTGATTTTAACTTAAAAACTAGAAAGTCAATGTGACATTCAAACTGCTTTTCACTGCTCAACATAGGCGCCAGGCGGAGACAGTTTATATTAATTTATAAGTAGAAAACATTTGATGTAAGTTTATAAACTGGACACCAGGTCACTCATGGTCAATATTGTTTCTATTTTTAAAAATCCTTTATCACCCGGGTAATTTAGATGAGGGGCGAGGGACTCTATGACAAAGATATAAAATATCCCATTATACTTTCCTAAAATGTTCTGCATTTTTCAATAGGTAATTTATGAAAATTGTTAGATATAGCTTATAAGTTATTTAATTACCAATACAAAATTTGCTTTTCAAAAGAATAGTTTTGATTTATTTTTTAAATAATACGTCGAGTTTTTACTCTACTTTCATGAGTTTATATATTTCGCTATATTTGTAAATATCTACTATTTTTTAAGCTTATATTTCCCTGCAATTTTCGACTTAGTATACATATACGAATACACATTTGTTGTTGCCTGTAGAGTCTACCACACGTTATTGAAAAAAATATCAAGACCTAGTTTACAATAGCATTTTTTATAATCTTCTATAATTCATATTATATCGTCTTGCTGAGTTTACGTTTGCTCCAAGTCCAAGCAGACAACCGTAAATAAATTCCTACTTGATATTATAATCATTAAATAAAATCGTATATAATAATTTATAAATTTAACACATTAAAAATAATATATTTATGTTTAAAGATGCTCGATTATCCAAACATACAGATTTTATAACATAAATTGGTCAAGACAGTATGTGGAAGTGTGCCAGTATGTTATAGTATCTAATGCTACAAATAACGGTTTACAGATTTGTGTAGAACATAATAAACCGAATAAAATAGAATATGAAAAAATATTTTAAATGGTTCTATTTCAAAATTAAAAATAATTTATTTTCCTTCATCTTAGGAAAAATTGTGGTGATTGTCTATATACCTATACAATTATAATAGTGCCAACCAAGGCCGTAACTAGACATTTTTTCGATGGTGGGGGACATGGACCGCCCACTATACCTACGCCTAAATATATTAGACACCCAGCATTGCTCTCAAGTTCCAAGTATAACGAATCTATAGTTATCAGGAACATTTAGCAATGAAATATTATTTTATTTAGAAAATACCTATAGAGCTAATAAAAAAAATCAAAACAATGTAATTATTTCCGCTAACTAGCTATTATGTCTATGATTTAAGATTAGTTAGATTTATTACATTTTCATAGTGTATTATTCAAAAAAGTGTAATAATATACAAATATACAATTTATATATTATTATGTATTTATGTGATAGTTGAATAAATTAAAGCTAAAAACAGTATAATACTATTCAAACAAAACAGTGTAGGTACCCATATAAAAGTATAGTAACAACCAAATACATTTAAACATTTTTTATTTTCAACGAATGCCTTTGAGTAAAATAAAATGATTCTATTCCCCGTATGGCTGTATAAGAGACTATGGTCTGGGCCTGGGATCGGGGAAATATTAAAAAACTATTGGCACCAAAAATAGGGTAAATAAATACAATTATTAGAAATAATAATAACAAATCGTTTCAATATTACTCGTTAGTAGTTTCGTACGACTATTGTTTTAAAAAAAAAAAAAACGGACTACCTACCTACGCAAAGGCACAGCCTACAACAGCCCCCTCCCCCCCTAAGATGTATTCATCACAGCTACTGGTAAATTATTGTAGCAATTTCTTTCAACTCATTTCGATTTACCGCCGTCGAATCCGTACGTGAATTTTAACCCGATATTATTGCGAACACACATCTGTCAACCAGGTGTATATATATATAAGGTTATGCAACCTGTATACGGTGTACGAATACGAATTATATTGTTGTGCACACGCATCGTGTTTATGGCTCTCGGTGTTCTATAAAATATCATAATGTGAAGCGAAAACAAATACAGTAGTTTTGTATATTATACATAGGTACAGAAAATATAATTTGACACCACGTATACGCATTATGCACTGTATATACAGCGAAAATGGCGGCTGGGTAAAAAAAAAAAAACGGATTTTTTCGTATCACAGAAACCCAACTCGTGTATACCAGCCATTGTGCACTAGTGGATAATAATATTATGTATTATATGCAGTGGTGGTGTAATCAGGGCTACCCGGCTTAGGTCATGGGGTTGTATTGGTCAACATTTTGTCTCGATAAACAATTGAAAATATTAAATTGACGTTTTTTTTTTTTTGAAATTAAATATTTTTACTAGTTAAACTTTATTTAGACCAAAAAACAAAGTAATAACTACTAAACTACCTACCTATTATTAAACAATATTAAAAAATAAAGTATAATAATAGATATTATACTTTTCTTGGCATATTATGCAGTCATCTAGGCGTGTAACCTAACCGGAGGAGAAAACTCTGATCAAAAATCTATATAATACTGGCGTAAATAAGTACTAAGTACCACAGATGCATAGATGAAAAACAATAGGTCATTGGGAGGGGGGCATTCATTGCCCCGAACCGCATTACACTACTACAACAGTGACCACAAATACATGATTACGCCACTGCCGCCGAATAATAATAATATAATACAAACAAAACCGAGGGAATGAAATAATTAACCGACGGAAGAGCTCAACAGCCGAGCACCTATTATTGTGTATACGAGGATATGGTGTATTTATAATTATTTTATACAATATATAATATATATATTATATGCACAAACACTACACAGCGGTCGGAAATCGAACCGGATTAATGAGCAGCGAGCAGCGGCGGCGGCGGTGGCGACCTCGACGTTAACCCATATATACGTTTCTGTATACGATAATATTGTTATTGTACACACGCGCGACCGGGCGCATAATAATAATAATAATATTATTATCAACAATATATTATTTGTACACAAATCGTCCGTATACGTATCGTGGAAAACGGTACTCCGGTCACCGGGGCCGAGCACGGTAATTATTGGCCGACGCACCGATCGCCGAATCGTGGTACAACCGGCGACACTGCGCACGACGCGCACGCGCACATTGTCCGCAGCCGTGGCCGGAGTCGAGCCAGCCATGTCGCACGGTCGCCGGGACGTAGGTGAGCGGTAACGGTTCGGTACGCGTTTGGACAAAGGAAAAGTATCGATCGGGTTCCACGGGTCCCCGTGCCTTCCAACCGAGCGGCAAACGTGACGTCACGCCGAGTGCCCCGTTTGGCGTACCTCTGGTCCAGCGACCGCTGCGTCCCACTCTACCCGATGAGGTACCCGCGCACAATCACGATTTATTCCCAAACATTTATATTATTATTATTATTACTATTATTATTATTATTGTTATTATTACACACTGTCTGCGTACTCACTACTCGGTGGCACAATAATATTATTTTGACTTTTTACACACACACATACACACACACAGGCACACACACTTGAACAGTCAAACAAATAAAATTAGTTTTCCGTCGGTCGATAATACACACGGTTTACCGCCTATTTCAGGTGTGAATTGGACGAAACGACGACCGACAACTCCGCGTCCGCCGTCGTGCGCGCATAATCCGTTGTTCGGCGGCCGTCCCGCGGGATAGCGAGCGAGCGATCGACGACGACAACGACAGCGGAAACGACAAAGTTGGTCGTTACCGTGGCGGCGGTGATCCGAACTTGTGACAACAACCAAACAAGTCCGCCAAGTCCGGACGACAGCGCGAGCAGAATCGGCGACTGCGACGAGGACGACGACGACGACGAGATCGCCGCCGGAGTAATCGTCATCCGGTCGGGTCGGTTGTTATGATGTCCGTGCGACCATCGTCGTCGTCGTCGTCGTCGTCGTCGTCGCCTTGTGCCGAGTCGCAGTCCCGGCGGTGTCGCCGTCAGTCTCGTCATTGCGGCCGTCCGTCACCGTTGTCGTTGTCCCAATTCGTCGTGTCCGAGGCGCCTTTGCCGCTGGGCGGTGAGACCGCGATGCCCATATAGCCCCGTGACCTATGCCGCCTGCAGTGTTCTTGTAGTGTTGCTGCACCGCACGTCCTGCGCCGCAAAGGTAAGAAGAACGGAAGACCTAATCGGGGGGGGGAGGGGTACATTTTCCGGTCGTCCTTTCCGCTTTTCGAGCGTTTTTAATCCTTCGTCGTGTGTCGGAAAACGCGAACGAACGGTTTCGAAGAGTGTTGTTCTCGCAGTGATTTTTGTTTTTTGGCGGATTACCGGATCGCCGTTGTCACGTGAAAAACGGTTAGCCTTGGCGGCCGTCTATCAGACCTCGCGGTTCGTCATATGTTTTCCCGCAGCTGCGATTTTCCCCCCCGCACGGGTTACTGTCGCGTACGCCATGCGTTGGTTTTTTTTTCGAGGGGGGACCCCCCACGCGGTCTTTTTTTTGGACCCGACTGTCCCTAGTGCCGGCAAACCAAGTCGCTGAGAAGTAAGAAGTCTTCCGATCCCCAGCCGTCAGCCAACGGAAACGTAGTCGATGGGGTTCCACGAGCACTCTGCTCTACATTTTTTAGATTCCGGCTTCCCTGCTGTCTTTTCGGGTTTCTCGAACGAAAGCGGGGTGGCATGTGGTTGTTTAAGTTTGCCAGTTTGCCAAATATTGTTCTGGATTTGAAACTACACGCAATCAGTGACGATAACGTGTTGGGCACTTGAAAAACGATAGAATTGGGTGTGTTAGGTTCCATTTGTTTCGTTCGGCGTTGTAAGGTTAAAGTTCTTGCATCAATCAGCATAACGCCTCAACGCTGATAATAATTGTTAATTAATTACGATTAGTGTTTACTACTGTCGTCGAGGTATAATAATATGTACTAACGTTATCCTCATTTTTGTCATTTAAATCAGACAGAAATGAATTGGCAACAACCTTATTCCAATTTCGTATAAAGCACCAGCCACCATTCATCAAGCACGAATCACGTTTAGTGCTAAAGTGCTTACTGCAATATTGCTTATTTGCTTATATTATAGTAGAGAAAGTGTTGATAAATCCTATTTGATATATTTTCCAAGTTTATTTTGTGCCTATCATTGTGATACCCAATACCCAGTTAGTGGTTACTTGATCAACTGCATAAACTGTTTTCTGATATAAACATTATAAAGTTGATTAGGTACCCAGTGATTAGTTTTGTTGTAACTTTTAGCATGCAAGTATGCAATAATTGTAAGACAATTTGTTAGCAGCATTGGATAGGTAGGTATTTGATTGTTTTAATAGTTATACAATTTCAAGCATTTATGGTTATGTCATTAAGACCATTTTCAATGTTTAATGACACTTCTCATATTTTGCCACAGAGTGACATGTGTAATGTGTTTTCTAAATAATTATTGATGCAAACGCAAATGACATAAAGATAAAAATATAATTACCTAGTGGTTTTTTTATATAGAGTATTCATTTTTTTTTTGTTTAGATACAGTTATTATTTACTAGGCTATCAACTCTTATCAGTAAGATGATTGCATTGCCCATTTCATTTTTTTCTCTGTTGCGGTGTAGTAATGGTTGTTTTAAATTTTTAGATGGGGAATCCAACACGTTTTATGGTATCATGGGATGATCATTCTACGCATTTAGTCGCACGTCTGGGATATCTTTTGGAACGTCAACAGTTGGTTGATGTCACTTTGATGTGTAACACACACAGTCTCAAAGTTCATAGATCAGTTCTCGCAGCTTGCAGTCCATACTTTGAGGTAATATTATTTTTTACAGTACACCTAAATCTGTATAAGTAATATTAACATTTTGAAGCTTGAAAGTTATTATCATTTCATGTTTTTAATGTTATATAATTTTTAGATTGAATAACATTAGGTATACATGTTAATGCTAACTACAATAATATTGTTTTTCATTTCAGCGTGAATTGGGTAATCATCCCATGATTGTTCTCAAAGATATGAAATTTAGTGTACTCAAATCATTAATTGAGTTTATGTATTGTGGCGAAACAAATGTAACAGAAGATAATTTACATGCTCTTGTAGAAGCAGCCAAATTTTTTGAGGTAATTTATTCATTTATTTATAAATAGTTAATTCTGCTAATTATAACAAATACCTATCATGGAAAAAAACTCATCATTAAAATCAGGGTTTAATTAATATGTTTAAAAAATAGTGCAAATGCTGTGTTCAATAAACAGTGAAAATTACCTACTAATATTTATTATATGAAAAAAGTTTGAATATAAAAATGTTTGAACAATGATTAGGTATGAATTACTTACATATGATAAGAATTTGTTTTTTTTAAGAAATGAAAAGAATTCCAAATGTTACTTTATATTACCTTATAATATATTTGTATAAATGCTTCTATAGATTTTACACACTTCACATTTCAACTCTATTAATTGCTTACCAAAAACTGATCTTTTTATATACATTTTAAGTAAAAAGTATAAAAATTAAAAATAAAGTATTACCTAAAAGTTATTAAGAAATTATAAATAATATATTATTAAGTTTTTTTTATGCTTGCACTGAATATTTAATTTTTAATGTCCTTTGAAGTGAATTATCTTTTACCCTCTATATCAGATCAATAAACATGATTGTATCGATACGTTTCATCTAAAATGTCAAATATCAGTAGGTAGGTGGATTATTCTTGAGAACGCTAGAAACGATTATTATCACTGAGATGTCGTTTGTTTTGACAAAGGCGTGACAAAAAATAGTGTGTGTGGCTCGTGTGGGAAAGCAATTTCAGTCTTACCTGCTACTGAAAAAGCTCACTTCCCACCCTTGTCCCACATACTATTGCACAATTGAATTGCTGTTTTAAATTATATTATTTTTAATGTATTTTACTCAAATAAAAATGTAAGGTAGATTTAACTTATATTTACAAATTATTTATTTTATGCACACAAACATCTTGTATACTCACATAGATAAGTTATAATTTTTATTTAATTGTAGATGTAGTAAAAAGTTGATACGTTAAATATATTATTTTGGGTAATCTATTTTTTTAAATTTGTTTTCTTTTTAATCCCAAAAGTTAAAATTGCAAAAAAAATTTATTTTTATTTAAAGTAGGTACCTAATTATTTTTTATGAATATTATTGTATGATAAGTACCTAAGAAATTCTAAATCAAAGAATATAATACTAAACTTTTTATGCAATTATTAATTTTTCTAAAACAAAAAAAATACCTAATTGTACCTATAATATTTGTGTAAATTTTACAGGAATATAATGTTATGTATTCACTTAAAACTGTCTAAAAATAAAAAAATAAATTTTGTTTAATTTTGGTGATTTTATCAGTTACTCCTTAACAAATATTGTGTTAAATAATAAATCTATATATACCTATATAATTTATATTTGTATTTTTGTTGTTTGATTATAAATTGTTCTATAAATTAGTTTCTTTAATTCGACCAGTTACCGCAATCACGGATACAATTTTCTGGACCGGATCAAACATAATTACTAAAAAAATATTCTTTATTTAGATTTTATTAAATTTTGCTTAATCTGGACAAACATCTCTTCCTAATTTATCTGGAATTAGAGGATTTGAAAACTAATGTGTTATACTGTTATGTCTAGGAAGCAAGTTCTGATTTGCAATAAAAATAAGTAAAATGTATGTTAAAAGGAAAATTTTTATTTTGGCTTGTTAGGAAAGGCCAAAAACATTTTGAAAATAGTGAGAATAATGTACGTCACATGTTGAGTGTTTAAAATGATTAATGAATAAAAAAAATTGATAATCCATCACGATCATTCCGTGATGAAGTAACATAAAAACTAGTGCCTTGTTATAATAAGTTTAAATAATGGTGGAAACGATGTTGAAAATATAATGTACTAATATTGATATTTGTATGTTCCAATAAAATTTTTTTTTAAATATATATTTTACTTGTTTTAATTGTAAAATAAAACTTATTTTTTGTAAGTAATTTATATATTTCTTAGTTACAACTATACTTAATTAAATATTAAATAACATTGTTTTTGTATAATGTAATATGAATTTTGATATAATTTACTGCTAATTATTAAGTGTTCATAAACATAAAGTTATGTTTGAAAATTCTTATCAAAAGTAGTAATGGATTTCTAAAATATGGATCAGTTAAAAACAAAATTACTATTTTTTGACCAAATAAAAAATATATCCCTAATTTTCCTTACAAATAGGGAGTTTTGGTATTTAATTTTTGGCGTGTTCAAGAAATGCAACTTCTATTGATATTATTATTTATTATTTATTCAAATAGGCAACAGTTTTAAATTAAATAAATTATCATAAATTCCAAATGAAACACAGACATGTTTAGACAGGTATTTTGGTATAAATTATAATACATTTACTCATATACTTTCAGTTTTGGTTCAAAAAAACAATGATTAACTGATTCGTTAGCAATTGATAAATTTTTTACCTTTATGAGTGACAAACATACATATGAAAATATGAAATAAATAATAAAGAAAGAAATACATAATGGATATTTAGATAGCCAATTAATTTTTTTTTTTATTAAAACTCAAGTGTTTATATTTTTATTATTGGACCTTTTGTCTTTTTGACTCATTAGGTTAGTGAGACTCAAATGCTTTGGTCCCAAAGTGAGTCTATTAAGCAGTATTCTGTATTTATTAGTTTTAAATTATAGATGTTCATATACTTATAATCATCAATCATCAATCATAATCATAGTTTGTTATATTCATATTGTCAGCAAGATACTGCTATTATACAAATTACTGTGAGTGTTATTTAATCTATAATAGTTATTGATTAATTTATACTAAACTTAATACTATGCTAGTTATATAACTGAGAATGTTACATATACAAAAACTTCCTATCTGCTATGTTTTCATGTAGCAAAAAAACTAAACATTTATGAATTTCATATATTATATTATAAAATATCGATTAATTTGTTTATATTTATTCATATTTTCATTTGTTAGTTGATAAATTCAAGCTATACAATTAGTTGTAAAATGTATAACTGATAGTGATACAAATTTAAATAAATCTTAGTATTAAACACAATCATATGAAATATATAAGTATTATAATAAATGATTTCAGAAGTAAAAAAGTAGTTTCAAAGAAATTATTAATTTAAACAAATTAGTTTTAAAGAAATGCAATTATTAATGTTATATTTATATTAAATACTTCGATATTTATACTGTTGATTTTGGGAACTCAAAATTTAAAAGGAAATAAATACAGTTAGAATAATTGGTAATTATTAGTTTAACGACACTTGAAAAATAAAAGTTAGAAGGGGATTATTATCTAAATGTTGAGAATTTTAAGTTATCAAGGGTCATATTATCAAAATGTTACTTCATTATTAAAATAAAAATATTTAAATAATACATCAAAATATCACTTTTGCACAACCTTAAGCTTGGAAGTGATCAGCTTCTTGTTTAATTATGTCTGTAATTTTTTGTTTTTGTAGTATTGTTATAGTTGGAAAATTCAATAAATAAATAATCTACAAAGATAAAGTTAAGTTAAGTTAATTACAATTTACAATTTTTTTTGAACATAATGATAACATTATCATCTTAATTAACTTATTGAATTAGTTTACTCAGTAAATATAATGTTTTATCTGATGAATAAGATATTAATAAGTTTATGTTAGGAGGTTGCATGAAAAATTGATTAATTTAATGGTTCAATAAAACCTAATGGACCAATCATGAGCCTCTAAATCATGATTAAGGGACAATTAGTTCACTATTGGTTCATTAAATGTTTAGTGATAGTTCATGCAACCCGGTAAATATAGTCTTATTATTTTACTAAATTTACTTCCTTTTTTTTTGGTGATAAAGTTTTTTAGTAAAATTTGTCTACATTTATACATTCAGCTAGTTTTAAGGTTATTTGTGAGTTACGACATAAACAGCGCTTTATTGTTTTTAATTAGTATATATTTACGTGATTAGTTTTCTTTCAGTTTATAAAATTTGAATAATTTAATTGAAACAATTATAAAGGACAATAAATAATAGCTTTTATAATACTATGTCTAAATTATTATATATTTTTTTTTAATGTTAATTAAATGGTTATATTAATTTTTCATTGTACTAAACAATTGTTATTCTTTTATACTTGTCTTTCCACCTCTGATTGAGACATCTAAACCAAAATTTTAACCTCATTTAAACGGAATGTCAATGATCATTATTACTTTATGTCTTTATGGCACTATATTCAACAAAACATATGTTATGTTTTGTATATAAATACATTTTTTTAAAAATATTTTAATGAAATGTAAATTAGTGATGACTTTTACCTTTATATTTATTGATGTATGTTTCTTGAAATAAGTAAAAGCATAGTTGTTACATAATTATGGTTTCATTAAAATCATTTATAGTCGAACTTGACTAAATCGAAATCGTCAATATTTGGTATTTTTTCCCGGTCCCTAGTATTTTTTATTATTACATTATGCTTGGATAATTCGATATTTTTGTCCGGTCCCTTCAACTTCGAATTAATGAAGTCCAGCTGTATTTTACTTATAGATTTCTTAAGAAGATGGCAGCATATTATTGGTTTACTATGTTTCATCCATGGATAACATAGACAATTTTAGTTCAGCTGAGCCAATCTTGTATTGTTAGCTTAAATATTGAAGTGAATCATTAAATTTAAATTTAAGACCAGTACCTATCTTAACCCGTGGTGTCGCCAGCTAGTAGGCGGCTTCTCTACCAAATCTTTCTGGCAGTAACTTTCTTGTAACACTGAAGCGTATTATTTAAATTATGTATAGATTGTTTAAATCAAATAAAGTACAAATAATAAAAAAAAAAGGTTACCTAGTACGTTGGCCTTTTACAACAATTCAATTTTCTGCAATATATTTTTATATTGTAATACTTTACATATTTATAACTTACTTATAAGAATCGAAATTTTGTTAAAAGCCTATGTAGAAGCACAGATAGTATTTTTAAATTTAAGTTTGATAATTGGAAAATTCACTCTATAATATTAAAACTAACCACACAATATTGGGACTACTGAGCTCAAATTTACTATGTTGTGCCTTGGCCAGAGAGGAAACCAATAGTGAGTTAACATCTTCTTCTATGATAATTAACTAAATAATAATAATAATTTTAGATATAGTTTCAAAGAATGCTCATGTTGTCACATTTAGTTCAATGTTACCATATTTACTTATTGTGTAGTTTGTGTATAAAGATTGTAAATGTTATTTTTGATAATAATAAATAAGGTTTTGTTAAAAATAAAAACTTATCTTTTTTCAGGTTAAAGGCTTATCATCGCTAGCTCATGAAAGCTTACAAGATTCTAAGTCTATAAAACCACCTTCCCTTGTTTGTACTACAACAGCTCAAACTCGAATCTGTCAAGTTTCATCTTCACCAATTCCAGTTTCACCTATTGCAACTAAAGTTACAGAAAACGGAAATTATTCTTCATCTGTTTGTAAGTACTTCTTAACTATGATGATTAATATTGAAGAAATTAGGTAATTTATCTGTAATTATTTTTTTAGCTGTTATTGCACGTCTTGGCCAAAATAATAATACCAATGAAATGCGGCCTTGTGCTGGTAGGGGTCGTCCTAAAGCTCATCTTCAGAGCCCATGTTGTGAACCATTGGTAAGCAAACCGGCTCCTATTACTCCACCACAGACAGAATCCGCCCAAATACTACTGTCACTTGCAGGATCTAACCAATCATACATATCGCCTTCAAAACATAGAACCAATGAAAGTAGTATGGCGACTGTAAATCATGAATTTCCAATGAGTAACGGTCTAGACAATAACAATCCCAAGTTCAGTGATGACATAGACCTAAAGTATAAGCGTAGTCGGAAAAGGCCTGCAGATTCGGTAGATGAGAATAGATATGATGTAAAAAAATCAATGCCTAATGACATGAAGACAGACGAAGATGTCAATCGGTCACCATTACTAGCTAGCTTACTAACCAAAAATGATAAATCTGATGAAAAACTTAAAGTATCAAAACCACAAGAAACACAAACTCAGAGTTCTGAAAGATACATAAATGCATTAAAAGGAGCTGGTCTTCCAACAGATATTCCAATATTAATTGAGAATGGTGATGGTAACTACATCACATTAACTGAGAATGTGTATGATATATTAGCCAAAGAAGATGCTCTTCATTTCCAAATTACTGACAATATGAACCTTGCTAATCTCAAACAACCAGAAGATATGGTTAGTAACATGCAGGATGTAGCGCAGTCTAATATACCAATAATAGACACCAATATAGAAGATCCGATATTGAGGAATATTAAAAGTCATATGCCACCAGACAATCCAGACGATGTTGTTCTGTATAAAGTGGCTGACGATGGGAACATAGAAAAGTATGTTTTGACCACAGAAGACATAAAAGCATTCAAAAAGTCTATGGATTCAAATCCTGAAAGAAAAAAGGATTCGCCACGACTAAGCGTTTCCGAAATAAATGTGCCGATTGAAAACAAATCATTGCCGTTGATAACTAAAATCTTAGACTGTGGTAATGAAAAGTTTTCAGAGGCTCTATTAGGCAGACTACCCCTCAGAAAAAGAGGGACATTTAAAATAAATAGCAGCAGTTCTGATACTGATATGTTGCAACAAATGAACAATGTTTGTACACAGTCTGTTAGTACTGTAGATACTGACGTTGAGTATGTTGTTGTAGGAGAAGACAGTGTACAAATGGACATATTGGGTTCTACTAGTATAAGCAATAAAAATGATTCATTAAAAACCACCACTTCTATAAAAATTGAGGATGTGGCGGAAGAGGAAATGAGTGTTCTAGAAGCAATGATGAACAATACTATTGAATTTTCCACTGAAGATGGTGACTATCAGATGCACAGTAGTGAAGAGGTTTTCTCAAATGATCAAAATGACAATGAGAAAATGATATTGTCCAATGTCCTCATGTGCACGGGTGCAGAAAATTCCAATTCTCACGTTGGCCTTGACCACTTTGGATTCAAAACCGATGACGTGGACGGCCGTAATGGTGACTGTAATCAACAAAAAAAATCCAAAATGTATGTAGACTTGGATATGACGGGAAATGATTTTATATCGGAACCTGTCACTGAGGAGGTAGTACTCTCCAGCGAATTAAATCCGAGCTCCTGAATTTATTTATATAAGGATAACTTTTTAGTTATACTTTGAATATAGAATTGTGTATATTTTGTAAAAATTGGGCTGTACAATATGACTTCAAATATTGTTATCTGTCATTGAACTTGTTGGTGAAAATCTACACATGCCTATGTATATACTATACATAATCTTATGTCTATATATAAATATATACATATCTGTGTATATACCATATATAAATATTTCCTTATAGTTCTGACTTATATACTAGTTTATTTGTTTTGTTTAGTGTTAACATTAAAAAAATGTATTATTCTTTAATTTGGTGATATATAAATATGTGAACGAATAGAAACAAATATTGCTTAACTTGGCTCTTTGAAAATAGAATGAGTGTTTAATTTGAATTTTTAAACAAAAATTGGTATTATTTTATAATTTTGAAAATTATTGTTATGCTATGGTTGGTATTCACAATTGTTTTAAAAAAATGTGTTCACCCTGTGCCATTTGTTAAGCCGTCAATTATGAAAGTTCACATGTTTTCAGCTTCATAAATGAAGAAACAATTAAAATCCGAAATAAAGATCATGACGTGTTTATATAGTTTTATTATACATTTTTTTCAATTTTAATTACATTTTAACTTTTGTTTCTAACTATTATTTTCTGTACAAATAATATACAACAACAATAATTATTATATTATATTATTATTATTGCCTTAAATTTTTTAAACATCCAAATAATTTATTTTGATTAAAAGTTGTGTTAAACTGTTGAAAATAATATTGATTAGCGTTGTACTATTTTCGTTTTTTCTTGCATTTTGTATACTAGTTTATTATTATTATTATTATTATGTGTTTACATTAGCTTTTTTTTCGTTTATCGAGTACTTACACTCGTCGTCCGCCTCGGCGGCATAATATCATAAATGGCACCAGTGCACCACACTATTTGACAATAACTTTACGTTTTCCAACCATCGTTATCTACGGCAGGATCAAAGGAATATGCCTGCAGTATATTATTGTAGAGCAGTGGTTTCCAACCTTTTACGAATCGCTACTTTCTATTTTTTGTTTAGTTTTAATGCGGCCCGTTAAAAAGTTAATAGTCGAACATTAATAGATTTTCTAAATTATAATTTACACACTATAGGTACCAAAGGGCGTAGCTAGAAATTCCATCCGGAAGGGGGACAACCAATTGTATTTTAAAATGTTTACCCCAATTTCAAATTTTGTTCAACATTAATATTTGTTAGCTATGCCCTGCCCCCCTTGGCTACGTCCTTACACATACCTATACTGTTACCTCTTGTTATTAAGCTGAATAATTTATTATTCATAGATTTTATAAGTTTTTCTATTGGAAAAATTACAACTACAATTTAAAATATTTGTAAATGCGAGGTCACTATATTATGAAATAGATAGTACCGTTGTTTTGTTAAATATTTTTGATGACTTCCTGGTTGGAAACCACTTTTATATAGTATATTAGAGTGTACTCATCGGTCGGACTCAATCCTCTATTTTCCCATTCCCTGAATGAATTATGATCGCCTTTATAAATGTTCAGGCTGAGTCCGACCACATTTCGTTCTTGCACACTCGGATGACGATGTTGTTTAATTAGCTTTATATTAAGTTTTTGCGCCCCTATAATGCGATCTAATACACTGTACATACGCAATAATAAATAATAATCCTATCCGCGTCTTTTCATAATTTAATATGTTGTGTTTAGGTTAATGTATTGTTTACTGCATCAGCAATCACATATATACCTACTCAAGTGAAATGATCTCAATATGATGGTATTTGAATAGTCTGCTCAACTAACCAAAAAAAAACCGAAAGACGTCTTACTTCTTTGTAATATCATCCCCTCCGACGCGGTGTAGTTTTCACCCACATCAACCCTCAATCGAGAATTATTATCGTTTGCACTCGAAGCAAACGACGCGGTCTCTATAATATAATTTGTGAATCAAAAATGTACTTATATTGTTGAAGGGATACCTAAATAGTCTGTAGATTATATTATAGATGTATAGTTTGTTGTTGGGCATATTATAGTTTACCTATATTATGTGTATTTATGTTATTATACACGCGTGACCCAACCGAAGGGCATAGATCATCAGTACAAACGATAAAGCTCAAATAAGTTTACATGCATAATCTATGTATATATATATACTTATAAAAGAAGTGGCGTATTTTCAAATTTTTTGTGGGGGGGGTCTAAATATTAGGTACCTACAAGTTTATAATATAAAAAAAACACATACGAGTTATGATGTAATAATTATATTATATTATGTATATTTCACTACTATTATGATTTATTAATACAAATTTATTTATAATATTAATTTTCTCTTTCTCGGTACCTACGTACCAAGTTATTTATGAATTTTAAATTTTTTTCTGGGGGGGTCGAGACCCGGGACCCCCCCCCCCCCCCTCCCGTAAATACGCCACTGTATAAAAGTATAATGTCAAGACGAGATGTATTATTTATTATTTATACATATTTGAAAAATTAAAATATATATAATTGTCTTTAACAGCCTTACCATTATTATTATTAATTCTTATTTATTATTTATTATTATAATTATTATTGTACATGCTAATCAAACTAATCGTGTCAAATAAATCTGGTGAGCTATTTTTATTTTGTGTAAGGTGTAGGTACTATTTTCGATGATCGTTGTTGTACTATGGATAGGTTATGTGTTTATATTATTATGTGATTAATGTATATATTTGATATGCAGATTTTCTGTTTAACACGCCTATAGGCTATAATATTCAATAAAATATAAATATTGTACCTATTTGTACCTATAAAATATTATTACAATGTAAATGCCGTGTACACGCTGTACATATTATATTATATTTATATATAAATATATATATATATATTATAGTTGTTATATTAAAAAAATATATATATTATATTATATGAACATGTATGTGAAAAACTTTTTTGTTTGTTTTATTTATTATTATTTTCTAACCTGCGTCGTCCGAAGAAATTGTAAGTAATATAAAATGTCAATATTATAGGTACTTTGAAGTACCCATTTTATAATTAATGTATAGCCATATTAGGTAAGTATGGCTATATCATTAACTATCAAATTAAATCTTAAATTGTATGGTTTAATAAAATTGCTGCAGCCTTACCATGCCTACATCATTCGAGTTGTTCTTATCGCAGTTTGAATATTTTTAAACAATATCATTAGGTATTGTTTTTAGTTTGGTAAGAATCTATTGAGTAGGTACTAGGTACTTATTATTATGATCATAATTTAAGCATACTAAGCCAGTGTTGGTGAAATGGGTGGGGAAATGAAGGGGATAGATCCCAACTCATGATTTTTTTTAAATATTTATAATTTCTTCAATATTATTTTGACAGCTATTTGTCTACTTATAGACATTTATAGACATTCGATTTTTATTTTCTATAGATTTTGATAAAAAATGTTTTTGCTTATTGTAAAAACTTCAAAATTGTTTAAGGCTGTAAAGCACGATTGAGCGTATAGTATACCTTTTTAGCAACACGATTGAGCATAGGATATTTTATGCGATGTTGCCACATTCACGTGGCCGAAATTTTGTAATTTATTATTTTCACGTATTATTACACCAATAATTGTTATGATACCAGGCGCGAGTCGTGAGTTGAGCCCAGCTTTATGGACAATGTTATCGGTTAATAAAGGAGCAATAAAGTTCCGAAGTTTTAAAAATTTAAAATTAGAGGAAAACATAAGATAATGAATTAAGATACAATTCCAAAATTATCATTTGAATAATATCAGTGTACGATCACCCATACTCTATAGTATTCTTGACTTCAGTAGCGCCCAACCCTATTACTAGGTTATAGGTACAGCGGTCGCTACACCTTGAAAATAAGGGGTGGGTGGGTATACCTGATAACATAAAATAATCAACATGAAATATGTTCATAAATAATCATAGATTATATTAATATTTACTAATATTATCAATTAAAATATGATAAAATATTATAATAAAAACCTCGGGAAAATAAAATATTAATTTTATACCTTTTTATCATACTTTAGAAAAAAAAAATAGATTTGGATTTTACTTGGATATTTTGGTGGGTTATAGCTTATAAAGTATATTGTATAATGAATTTTCTCTGAAAAATTGCCGAAACCAAAATCTAATTGGTGTTATTATCGTCGTAATATTACTATTGACTGTATTGTCTTGCGGTGTTACGTGGTATACGTCAGTCGTATTTATTGTGTACCTATTTGTCATTTGCTTATTATTTTTAATAATTTAAAATGTCAAAAAATACTTAATTGGTTCAATGAAGAGAAAATTAAAGGATAGACGAGATGAAAAAACAAAAAAAAACTACACGGTATAGTTTAGATAAATTTACGTTTATAACTAATTCATCTTCTATAGATATAGCGCACAATCAAAATGTTTGTGAAATAAAATTTGACTTGAAATATTTACTCTGATATATAAGTGTAATAATCAAAAATACTAATTAAAAAAAAAATAAAATATGTTTGCCTTCTTAATTTGTATACTTTCTTGAAAAAATATTAAACATTAATTATAGACTCATTAAAAGTAGAAACTAGAAAGTGTTCTTGTATATTAAATAATCACATTTTTAACAATATTATTTTATTTTATGATGTAACTACTCATGTATAATATGCAACTAATTTAAAAATACAATATGCATACATTTTATTTTAGCATTGAAGAAAGTATAGGGATGGACAATTTGGGGCCCAAAATTGAAAAATGTACTGGGCCCATAATTTGGTAAATCAAGCCCTGGTTGTGGCAGTATTGTTCTAGAGGTGCGAAATATTTCCAAGACTAGGTACCTCGTATAATCTCGATTACCGCAATTTTTAAATAAATAAATATACATTTACACAATTATTTACATCTATAGATATATACAGGGTGATTCTTTTATCATTGAACACT